TGTAGTCTACTACCAAATGTGGTAGAAATTCTAAGGTGGAAAATGGTTTAAAAGAACAAAACTGTTTGCCCAATGGCAAGCTTAAGCATGGTATTTACCCCTCTCTGAAAGTTTTCTATTTGTAGGTAAGCGTCTCACCTACTTCTTCCTCTATGCAAGTACAGTGAGAGCCATATCTGTCCCCTCAGCTCCAGGTACAGAGGCATAGCAAGCAGGTAATAAATGTTCAGCCTACCCAAGTTAAGTAATAATGCTAAGTAGAAAAGTAACTCTCAGGCAATGTCATTTCTGGTATGAAACACACATCCGCTCTGGGTTAACTCCTCCCAGAGCAGGCTACCCTGTGAGTCCCCTCTCCTACTCCTCCAGCCACCACACAGGCCCATGCTGGTTTAAAACCACTGACTGACTGCTCAGCACCCGTGATACCCTCACAAAAGGAATCACTCATCTCCTCCTTATGATTCTTACTTATTCATTCAACTAACATTTGATTCTTATTTATTCATTCAACAAATAGTTATTTAGCCTCTGCCTCTGACTGCTGAGAGAGAACTGGCAACAAAATCAAAATTTCCTTCCTAATGTAGCCTCCATTCTCAGGAAGAAGACCACAGAAATAAGCAGCAGATCGCTTCTCGGCCCTTTGGCTAAGATCAAGTGTAGAAATAAGCAGCAGATAGTCCGAATCCTGCAGGCACGGGAAAGTTTTAAGCAGAACGCCACGAGCTGACATTTCAACAAGATCGTGTGTGATTCTGGGCGGAGAACAGATCTGCAGGAGCAGGGGAGACGCGAAGAGATCGTCTAGGGGCCATTGCAGAGCTCAGACAAGAGGTGTGGGCAGCTGGAGCCGGGAACCCTGCAGGGCTTGCTGGGAAAATGGCCAGAACCTGGGTGTGACCTGACTGCAGAGGTGACAGGATTTACTGACAGACCAGACACGGGATGTGATAGCAAGAGAGCCACAAAGCTGACCCTCAGGTTTGTCCCAAGCCTCTGGAAAGATGCCACTCACTGAGACAGAGAAGGCTGGAAAAGAGTAGTTCCAGAAGGAAAATGTCAGGAGCTCGGTTCAAGATGTGCCGACTTTGAGATACTTTTAGGGTGTCGCAGTGTTTCCCCCTCTTGGGGTGTGTGTGTGTGACAGAGAGAGAGCAGCGTGGACAGCACGTGACTGACTTAATGTGGCAGGAGGAAGGAAACAAGGAGGAGCCACGGAGCCCTTCTGGAGTTGGCATCTGTGCCACACGCTTCCTGTGACCCGCATTCCCCCCTAGGTCTTCTCTTTTCTGTAAATCCACGACAGAGCCCATCCAGCTCTTTCCCACAGCTGACAGATGAGAGCTTGAACTTGGGAGCAAGGTACAGCGACGGTCACCCAGAGCTGTCCTGGGCGTGGCAAGGGCGGTGTCAGTGTATCGAAGCCGGAGGAGAAAGTGTTTCAAGGGGAATCACAACCTCAAATGATGCCAAATGTCCTAAAACCAAGGGGAGAGTCAGCAAAGGGTAAGCTCCCAGCCCCAGACGGCGCCCCGTTTCCATCTCCCATTTTTGTCTTCTACAAGGAGGTCACATTCCTGCTGCTCCTTGTAACATCACCTTTAGGTGGCTGAAGCTTCACAATTTCTCCACCATCCACCTGACGCTATCCTTCTCAGTAAAGCCAGCGTAGTAAATACATACCACCATGTGATTCAAACTGGGTCACCACGGGACAAACTCACAAATACCAGAAGACAGTAATGTGTCTGTGCATAAGTCCCAACTTTTGGATCAAATAAAAAGGGTCCAGGGCTCGTTCTTAACTGTAGTAGGGCAAAGGAGTTGGAGAGGTAGGTCTGGGCACACGCTCCAGAAATTTGCTGCCCAAGAGGGAAGAGTCAAACAAGCAGCAGCTCATTTCAGAGCTAAAGGCTTCTTCCTTGCACTAAGCTGGGGGAGGGGGGAGCAGTCATTTTTTTCCCAGTGCCAGATCGCAGCCCCTGGGTTTTAGAAATTACAAAAGCCAAGATTGGGAAGCCAAAGCCTAGAACAGCTTCCTGCCCAGAGCTACACAGCGAGGAGAGTCCAGTCCAGGATAGAGCTCGTGTCCTCCCCTTGCCAGTCCAGAACATGGTGCACCACAGCAAATTCATTCTAAAGAAGGAAGAAAAAAACAAACCCTCACATTTGGGTTTGAATCCTGGAACTGGAGTTCAAATACATTCAACCCTCTTCTCTGAGTTTAGCAACGAAATCCTTCCCTAAGGTTCAGAGTTCAAGTGTAGAGCATAAAATACTAAAGCAGGATTAGTGGGAGATGAGTCTATCGCCTGCTTTGCTGACTGCCCTGTGCAGCTGCTTGCTGGTGTTTGCTGCCTGTGGCAAGTGGGCTGTCCAGCCCTGAGCCTCCTGAGCTGGACCGCCCCCGCTGCCATGGGTAGAGGACCCTGTGAACTCTGCAGGATGGGGTAGGGACAGAGTGCACGCTCTGGGCAGGCCCAGGAAGGAGGTGGAGGAGGGAAGTAGGACGTGGGCTATCCGGGCAAGCACAGCTCTGCCCAGGAGTCACGTCAGCTCAGTTCTCTCCTCTCGCCATCTGGGAGGAGCAAGGGGCACAGAGAGACGGTTGGGGTGCCTATTGCTAGTGAGGCTCCCTCCCTGTAGCTGCACCATCTGAAGATGGGGAGCAGCACGGGAGAGAGGGACGCCCCACTTCCTGATTGTGCTCAGCATGGTGCGCTGGGCTCCTAATGCACTAACACACACAGAACGATCACCAATGGCAAATTATGTGCCAAGCGTCTGGCACGGTGCCTAGAGCATGGTAGGTGCCTCCTCCATGATAGCTGTTATGATGGAGGGGAACAAAAGGAAGGGAAGGAGGAGAGGAAGAGGGTGGAGACAGGTGCTAGCCAGGTGGAGGTGGAGAACACCTGGCCGGGAGCTAGCTGGGGGGGGGGGGGCCGAATCCACGCGTGCGTGCAAGCGCGGGGCAGACCGCAGGGCTGGGCCCACCTGGGACGGGAGAAGACGCAGTGCTGTAAGGGAAAATGTGCATCTGCCATGTGCTGAAGCCAGAGTCCCTGCAACTCAGCGCTGTGCTGAATGAAGTGGAAGAAATGCTATTAAATCCGTGACTCCATGAGGTAATAATATTCCCAGCGAGCCCGCGCCTACAGAAATACACCCAGCAAGCAGGCTTTCCAGGAGCCCCCTCTAAGTTATAACAAGCTGCCTATCTCCTGCTGCCAGGATGCAGAGAAAAAATGAAAACCAGTTACCAACTACATTATAAACTTAGTGACCGGCTTCACCTCCCCTGGCTTAGTGACGAGCTCGGCTGCCTTTTGGGCACGGAGAAAGAAACATAAGGCAAGGATTAAGTTTCCTGGCTTTTGAAGGCATCCAGAGTCAAAAAATGCTTTCAGCTGGCATTTCTCTCTGTTATGCAGTCAGCTTTGAAGGATTTATTTTCTTTGCCCTACTTGGTAGAAGTGACTGGGGCCAATTACTGCAGAGATGATTGCCAGGGAGTTTTTTGGATGTGGACACCAGGTGGCGCTGTCTCCCCAGCTGTCTGAGGTCCGCGTTAGCAGTGCCAAGACTGGTTTCGTTTAAATCCTCCTCCGAGCTTTCTAAATCACAGTAAGAGTGAGCCATTCAATGGTCAGGAAGGCACTCACTTACTTTCTCCAATCTGTGGGGCTCAGAGCCCCGGGAGAGGGGTAGAATCCTTTATGCACTTCACACTCTCACAATTTTATCCCTCTCTGTAGCAGGCGGAACAATTAGAACCGTATTCAGATGGTCGCAGTTGGCAGCAGGCAATCTTGTTCAGCTTGGACTGGTGCATTTTGATTCATTTTACAAGCCTTTTTCCCTCCTACGAATTATCCACAACTTTCCAACTGATGTAAAGGTTGTGCCACCGCATACCCCTTTTGATGACATTTCTGTCAAAAACCAGGACCTCTTACATGAATTGGAACCCACAGCATGGCCCAAGAGACCTTGAGTCTAGCCTAATATTCCCTGGAGCTAAAGAAGAGGATAGCTGCCATGTTGGGGTGGTGTCCCAACAAGGGGGGCAGGCCTCCCAGAGCCACAGACACATCAGCCCTGGGCCTCTGGGTTCCTAAGCCTTTGTCACGAGGCTCCCCTATGCCCAAATACTTTTCCTGTGCCAGCAAGCACAGAGTTTCACGGTGCTTTAACGTCATTACTGGGATATCTGTAATGCCAAAGAGAAACATCAGGGAAGCCAGTGGCTTCCAAGCAGCGTGTACAGATCTGAGAGAAAAGCAACTAGCTCATGGCAACACATCGAGTATGAGGAATATTACTTACCAAGGACACTGCTTGGGGCCAGAGAATCACCTCCAGACACCCCCGCCAGGGCTCTGCCTGGGGGCAGGGACCCAGCCCTGGCACTCAGACTACTGTTCTCTTGGATCTGCCCTCCAAATGCTCCCAATGTTGCCCTTCCCTCCAGCCTCTCTGTCTGTCTGTCTGTCTGTCTGTCTGTCTCTCTCTCTCTCTCTCTCTCTCTGTCTCCTGCTGATGAGACCTTACCTCCCACAGCAGAGTTATCAGAGCATAATAGAGGCAGAAGTTAGTATCAGTGAGGTAAGGCTGACTTGTTTTAAATATTAAATATTAATCTGTACCCGTATGTGTGATGTTAAATTAGTTGTCTTATTTGCTTATTTAGTATTTGCCTTTAGCTTCACAAGATTAAAAAAATTAAGAGTATTAGGTCCCACGGGCAAGGCATATGATGCCTTATAATTCCAAGCAACATTATCTGTAGTTTATGTCCCTTACTCTGTTTTTATAAGTAAACACTAGGAAGTAATTCTTCTGAACACAGCAGCATTGTGAGACCAAATTGATGCTGGAATACTGGAAACTCAGCGTTACTTGGCTCTGTCTGTCATATAGTAACTCCGAGCCCCTGACCGCATACGCTTGCAAAACAGCTTCAGCCACCATGTGGATAAGCTTGGCGTGGCTGAGTGGACTGATCTTCCTGAAAGTCTGTGAGTTCTCTGGCATTTACAGCTCTCCTTTACTGTGCTTGTAAACCTGAAATCTGCGTTCGGCTGGTTTACATTTGCTGGCTCTTTTGTTCCAATTACTGGAGGATTAACACGCTTTTCAGGCAGAGGCTCTACCCTGGTGTCTCGTATTAATCTCTGGGCTTTGGAAAGGAGCGGAGGCTGCCCGGCAGTCCCAGAATAAGCAGCCACCACCTCCCACCCAAGTGAATGTTCCTGCCTCAGGAGAAGCCAGTGCTCAAGCCCAGTGACCTGGAAAATGTCTAACATCTCAGGACTTCTTCAACCTATTTTTCATTAACAAAATGTGTAAAGATCTTTACTGGCCTCACTAGTTACAAAGTTTTTAATCAGTTACAATTAAAGACGTGAGAGTAACTCAAAGGAGGGAGAGCGAAGAAGCACGCCATCTCACTTCCAGAGAAATGAGACACTGCGTGCAATTAGCTTGTTAGCTCACCGGTTCGTAGACTGTGAGGAACACCTGCTGTATGATTTATAGGACACTCACTATAGATGCTTACTCCACACCAGGAACCTCGGGGCTTGGAGAGCGCTGCCGAACCAGACCCTGTCCATCCGTAAATATTCTGTGAATAAATGAACAATAAATAAGTGAGTGCATTTATTACATTTTAATTACATTCTAGTTGGTGCCATGCATGTATATTCCAGTGAAACCAGTTCCCTTCCCTGCACTCAAATGCTTTCTGCTTGATCCAAATTCTTTGATGGTAAAATCAGTGCAGTTCATTCCTTCGGATTACCAACAGGCTCCCCTGGAGACTGTCAGGCCTTTGGGAAATCAGAGTCCCCCGAGGCAGGCAACCTACTATCCACAGGGTGGGGGAGACAGGGTGAGGTGAGTGAGGCTGGGCCAGGCCAGAATTGAGGCAAACTGAGAGCAGGGTTCAAGTTCTTCCTGAAAGGGCTATGAGCAACCCTTACCTCAGGAGCCAGCCTGTGCTGTGGGGTCTTCAATGTAGAATCTGTATTGCTGCGGGAAATTGCTAATTTTTAAATGATCACAAGAAATTTTGTTAGAACACCATTTAGGCCAAGTGGAACATGTCTTGTGGGCAGGATTCAGATTGTCCATCTGAGATCGCTGATGTATAGTTGCAGATTAAATGCACATTTTAGAGACTAATAACTCAATCTACCAAAATAGTTCAGAACTCTCTGGCTTTATGAAGATGGTTCTCTTCATTGCTATGGAGATATTTGATAATTAAAGGCAGTCCTGTCCTGTGGACACATTCTCTAAACATCCTGCAAACTCCATTCAAACTTGTACTGACGTCTGAACTAGAAGGGAAGGGGAACCACTACAAGGAAAAGTTATGTATATCATAGATTCTGTGCTTATTACTTTATTTAAATGAAATATAAATAGTTTTAATCTTCTATAAGAGACTTCTTGGGACATAAAAAAGTAGGTTTTCATTGTCTTATTTTATTATTTTAGCAGACTGTCACACCGTGGCCCCAATAAATCAACTCATTTATTATCAATACAAAGATTCAAAATAATTCCTTGGTTATTACTCCCAATTTTTCTCTCTTATGAAAGCAAAGGAAAATCTGGTTGGTGCTTTAGATTACTTATTCACTCAACAAACACTTATGGAGCTCCTACAATTAGTTGGCATCCTTTTTTTTTCCTTTTTATTGGTACCGGGGATCAAACTCACGACTGCTTGCAAGGCAGGCACTTATGCTGCTGAGCTAAATCCCCAGCCCCTTAGTTGGCATCCTAAACTGCAAAGTTTATCACTCCTTGAAGGTTTTCCAGCACAGAATCTGCATTTTGATAAAGCACACTCAACACATGTATTAAATGTTATTCTTGAACAAATCTATTGTTAAAAATAGAGTTGATTTCTAGTAATTGCAACATGAAGAGGTTGAATATTTGGGTTTAAGGAACAGAACAAAGTTGTCTTTCTTTATAAAAAAAAATTGTCTCAGCCTATAGAAATCTACCAACAGCAGAAAATAAATTAAGAAGTATTTATTCTAGAAAACATAAACTGGTCGTGCTTTGGGTAAGAATGATGGAAATCTGTATAGTCTGGGCTGTTCTTGAATTTATCCCTCTCCCCAGTTCAGTTAGCAAGAATTACAGCCGCACATATTTCAGCTGGTTGCAATTAAAAAAAAAAAAAAAAAGACTTTGCTGCCAAAGAGTGGAGACTTGCCTCGGGCATGGAGAGGGACAAACATCTATGACACTGAGAGCTAAACATGGCAGATTGGACTTGGAGTGGATGTAAAATCCTGCAGCTTTTCTAGAGCAATGCTGTATCTCCAGTTTAAAATGAGGAGTGAACCAGCCAGAGATTTAACTGGGCAGTCCTGGATTCAGAACATCATCAAAAGGCTGAGATAAGCTCTCCACACACCTGCAGCTAACAGCTCAACTGCACATGCCTGCACCACACACACACACACACACACACACACACACACACACACACACACACCAGGAAAGTATAACTAAGTCATACTCAGGGGTTAAGGAAGAAACAATCATTTTAAACTGACTGAATGACCCTTGATGTCAGACCTAGCAGAAAACAGTTCAGGCAACCATTATAAATACATGAAAAGAACTAAAGAAAATTATGTTCAAAAGTTTAAAGAAAAATATGCTAACAACTACTCAACAAATAAGGAGCCCATACAGAGAAGTAGAAATTACAGACAATAAGCAAACAGAAGCTCTAGAGGTAAAGAGTACTGAATGGTGAAATGAAAATTTTACTAAATAAGATCAACTGCAAGTTTGACGTGGCAAAAAAAGAGAACACACTAGAAAATGTATCAATAGAAATTAGTAAATCTGAAGAGCAGAGAGAAATAAAGACAGAAAAATGCACAGTCCTCAGAAGCTTGCCAGAAAATGTCAAGCATTCTAACATGTGTGAGGTCGGGGTCCCAGCCAAAGAGACAGGAGAGCTACAGAAAAACTGCTGAAGAATTTGTGGCTGAAATTTCTCAAAACTTGGTGAAAATCACTACCTCACAGATCCCGAATTCTCAGCAATTATGAGCACAAAGAGAACCACATTGAGATACATCATTGTTAAACTACTAAAAGTCAAAAACAAAATCTCGAAAGAAGCAAGAGCAAATGATTTCACCACACACAAAAAGAATGCTACGGCCAGCAGCTGATGCTTCGTTAGAAACAGTGCGATCCAGCAAGCACTGCAATCATATATCCAAAGCACTGGAAAGGTAAAGAAGAGAAAAGTCCACCGGGAATCCTATCTCCAAAAGAAGAAAATGAAGTAAAGACACTTTTAGATAAACATAAACTGAGAAAATTCATCAATAGAAAACCTGTAGTATATGAAATATGAAAATTTAAGTCATTTGAGATGAAAGAAAATGACATCACATGATAACCAGTACCCACTGCAGGAAATGAAGAGAAAGTAAGTAAAGGCTGAAGACTGTACTTTTGCCTGGTCTATTATTTCTGTAAGCACATGAATATTTAACCATAATACCACCATATTCTTAGGGTTATAATATATACTGATTATATATATGTACATAAGTGAACAAGGATATGGAGCTGTATTATTCAGTATTAACCCCAAATTTTGATAAATTAAAAGAGAAATATAATCCCTAAAACAACTACACTAAAAGAGTTTTCAAAAGATGTAATTAAAAATCAGTGGAGGATTTAAAATGCTACATTAAAAAGTTTTCTTTAATCAAAATGTCAGTAAAGGCAAAATTGAGGAACAAGAAAATGGACAGGGGTATAAGAAAAAATCATAAAGTTGGAGGCCTGAATCCAAAGCTATTAATATTACATTACATATGAATCAACTCAATGGCCTAATTAAAGTAGAAATTATCAGACTACAGAAAAACAAGATTCAATTTATATGCAGTCTGCAAAAAAAAACCCTCTAGATTCACATATGTTGAAAACATATTTTAAACTACCCCACAAATGTAATCACCAAAACAGAATTGGAAGGGCTATACCAACATAAGACAAAGTAGACTTAAGAAAAGACATATAGTTGAGAGACAGAGGTGTCTCATATGGTAACAGTGTTGATATACACAGAAGACATTTTAATTTAAAGTGCACATTCACATACTAGAGACAAAATATATGACCCAAAACACACAAAATTGAAAGACGAAGTAGATAATCTAACAATTTCATAGGGAAATTTTAATACTCTTTGCTCAGTAATTGGTATTTCATAACAAAAATAAACCTATAAGAATATACAAGTGTTAAACATCTTAAACTGAAAGAGATCACTTGAATGAAAATAGCAGACTACACATTCTTTTCAATAGCAGGAAAAAATTTAGGATTGCTCCAAATCTCCAAATGAAACAGCATATATCCCATAGTTCAAAGAATATATAAAAGAGAATATCTTATAGTTCAAAGAATACATAAAAAGACAAATTGAAAAACATCATAAATTCAATCTAAATAAAAACACAATGTGTTAATCAGCTTTCTGTCATTGTCACAAAACACCTGAGATAATCAGCTTAAAAAGAGGGAAGGTTTATTTGGCTCACAGTTTCAGAGGTTTCACTCATGGTGAGTTGGCCCTGTTGCTTTTGGCTTGTTGTGAGACAGCAGACCACGGATGTTAGTGTGCAGTAAAGTTGCTCACTTATTCACGGAGAGGTAGAAAGATAGAGAACAGGAGGACAGGGTCCCCATATCTCCTATAAAGCCATGGTCTCAGTGATCTAATTTCATCCCACGAGGCTCCACCTCTTACAAGTTCTACCCCCTCCCTGTAGCACAACAGGATGGTGACTCAACCTTTGAGGAACGTTTACCCAAAACTTAGCACATAGTATATCTAATTCTATGCAATGCAACTAAAACACTACTTAGAGAAAAATTATAACTTTACATAAATCAATGAAAATAGGGAGGGAAAAGCAATAGAAGAAAAACACTGAAGTCAAAGCTTTGTTCCTTTACATGATCCACAAAATTAAAACACTTATAGCTAGACTGACTCAGAAACAAAGAGAGAAGACAAAATTTATCAAACCTGGAAGTAAAAAGGGCTCACAAACATACACTCTGCAAATTTAAAAACTCAAACGAGAATATTATGCCATTTGATGTCAACAAATTTGACAATTTAAGTGAAACAGAAAAATTCCTAGAAGAAAACAAATTACTGAAACTGACTCCTGAGTAAATGACAGTAGTGAATACTGACCAAGTAAAGAAATTGAATTAATAATTTAAAACCTACCCCAAAAAGTTCAAACACAGATGGCATTACTGCTGAATTCTATCACTTAAAGAAACAATAACCCTACAGAAATTCTTGCAGAGAATAGTAAAACAAGGAACACTTCCAAACGTATCTTAGGAAACCAGCACTTTCCTGCTATTAAATCCAGACAAAAGAATTACAATAAAATAACATGGTAGATCAGTATCTTTTATGGACACAGATGCAAAAGAATCTTTAAAACTCTAGTCACATAAGAAAAGGATTATGAACAATAGCCAAATGAAGTTTATTCTAGGAATACAGAGTTGTTTTGATATTTTGAAATCAATTAAGGTAAAACCCATATCATTACAATAAAGATATGTTATAAGTTTTCACAAGTTCAGGAATTAGTGAGAACTTCCCCAAACTGAAAAAGGACATTTATAGGGAACTTACAATTCAACATATTTAGTGTCAAAGACTGAAACCTAAAATCAGGAACAGGGAGAAATGTGTGTTCTTCACTTCTCTTCAATTCTGTGAGATAGAACAAGCCAAATAAATAAATGGCACACAGAATGTAAAGGAAGAAGTAAAACTGTCTCTGTACACAGACATAATCTTGATGTAGAAAAGCTTAAAGAATCTAAAAAAGAAGAAAAAACCCTACTAGAATTAATAAACAAATTTAGTGATACAGATTGCATGACCATTGTACAGAAGTGAATGTGTGGCATTTTTATATACTCAGCAATGAATTCAAAAATTCAGTGGAAAAATATTTCACTCACAAAATACAAACATATAACAAAATACTTAGAAATAAATTTAAGAATAAAGGACAAGTTTACAATTAAAGGAGATCTAAATAATGGAGATGTATATTACATTCATGTATTTAAAAATTCAATATTGTTAAAATGACAATTTTCTCCAAGTTGGCCTTTAGATCCAACACAATTCTTATCAAAATCAGATAAGAATTTTTATAGAAATTGGTAAGTTACTATAAAATTAATCTGGAGATACAAAAGATATTACAGCCAAAACAATTTTGAAAACAAATGAAGAACAAATTTGTTAAGATTTACACTGATAGGGCTGGGAATTTAGCTCAACAGCATAAGTGCCTGCCTTGCAAGCAGGCAGTCATGAGTTCGATCCCTGGTACCGATAAAAAAAAGATTTACACTGATTGCAAACTTATTGTAAGCTACAGCAAGATAATGTAGTTTTGGTATAAAGACAGATATATAAATAAATAGAACCAAATAGAAATAGATCAAAACATACATAGTCAACTGATTTTCAGCATCGAAACCATAGGTACCATAGCTAACAATTAAATGGAGAAAAAATTTTCTGAGATTTATGCCAGAACAACTGGATATTTATATACAAAATAATTGACCCTTATTTCTCCCCATACACAAAAATAACTCAAATAGATGGTCGAGCTAAAACTAAGAGTATAGTAGGCATAAAATTACTAGGATAAAACTTTATGTAGCTTGAATTAAGCAAACATTTTTATATGCAACACCAAAAACACCATTAAGTCATCAAATATAAAAGATACTATTACTGTAAGAAAATAAATAGAAGTCACATACTGGGACAAGATATTTGTAAAACATACATTCATAAAATATTATTCCAAATATTTCAAATATATGTATGTATGCTTGCACCTCAATAATGACATGACAGTTTAAAATCATAAAGGAATTAAAATTTTTTCTTAAAAAATAACATACAAATGGCAAAAATATGAAAATTGCTAAAGATTGGTAGTCATTGGGAAATAGAAATGTAAAACAGTGCAAAAAAAAACACTACAAAAATCACTGAAATGACTAACATCAAGCAGACTGATACTATTAAGTGTTGACAAGGAAGGAGAAACAAAAGAAATCATATATACACGTTGGTGTTCAGTAGCTTATTAAAAAGTTTTCATAGTACTCAGTGATTTCACCCAAAGCACCTACCAAAGAGAAAAACAAACATGTCACACAATAATTGTTCTTGCAAAGATAACTCATACTATTCAGCAACCATAAACAATCCAAGCAGCTATTCACAGATGAATGGGTCAATAATATACCTGTTTAGTAGAACATGTTTCAGCATGAAAAAGAAACAAACCTTTGATAACATGATAAACCTCAAAAGCATCATACTAATGGAAAGTCTGTGTAACACATGATTCTACTTATATAAAATATCTAGGAAAGGAAAAATGATATCAACAAAAAATCATGATTACCTTTGAGATGGAGATAGAGAAAGTTACTGACTGCAAACATCCACACTAGAAATTTTGTGTGATAAAAATGTTTTAAAACTGGACTGTGGAGATGGCTACACAGTGGTAATAAATTGCCTTTGCAGTTGTGCGACTCTACTCTTAAAAGGAATGTTAGGGCACACACTGTTCCTCAATAAAGGTTTCTTTAAAATGGACCTAATCCTTGCCTTGTGGAGTTTATAATCCCTGCTATGTTCTTTTTAGATTATCCCATTTGAATATAGAAGTTATTTGTGTTGACTAACTGTAATAAAGATAGAGCGAAATAATATAGTTTCAAAATAAATCAGTACACATCTTTTCCCATTTAAGAATAAATAGATCTTCTAGAGCAGCTGTCCTCAAAGGCTCACCAGTTTGTCCCCATGTTGTGCCAGCACTATCTGGAGACATTTCTGATGGCCACAACAGAGAGAGAACACTACTAGCAACCAGTGAGTAAGGCCAGAGATGTCCCTAAAGATATACAATCCGTGAGATTGGCTACTGTCAACGAAGAATCATCTGTCCTCTGGCCGGGGTGGCAATGGCGCCAAGGGACAGAAATCTTGCTCTAGGCTAAGCTAATGGCTCTTTCCTACTCCTTGAGCTTGCAAGTTGGATTTCAGTTGCTTACATACACTCTCTTCCTCAGACTGGGACCCTCCAACAGTTTCATTGGTGGGTCTCTTTATTAGGGGCATTCGGCATGATGCCTAAAATGTAATAGTCACTCTATTAGTCATTAATAAAATAAACCAGCTATGAATATGAAAGCAATGACCAAATAGAAGGACACTATTTTTAGGAAATTGTGCTACCTCCATCACAATTTCTTGAACATCTACTGTAGCTTTATCATACTTGGGAAACAAATAATAATTTTTCAAACAAACATTTTATTCTGTACCTTTTTGTAAAGATGGAAGGGAGTTATAAAATCTGAGAGACATATGTCACATCTTGAAAACAACTATAAAATGATGGGCTAAATTCTGAAGTTACCTTCCTCTTCTGTTTTCACATAGGAAGTTTTCTTTCATAAATCTCTTGTAAGATAATTTTGTATTCACAAGTTAATATTATTGTCATAAATAATAGTCATTCTCATTACCCAGTATATGATGTTCTCATCTTTAAAGCTCTTTGCAGAATCTACTAATTTCCATTAATTATTAAAGCTATAACAATTAAATATAAGCATTTCATCTTAAACTTTCCATTCCCCATTCTCATAATAAAAGAAATAAGCATCCAATATTTTTACCATTTCTCTCTAACACACTGACCCTTTCTGTCTCAATCCTGGATGAGTCACGATGTTCTCTAGAGGATATAGATATAGTTGTAATCATAACCATAGGATATAGATATACTTTTAATCATGAACAGAGACATACAGATATACTGGCAAGCAGATAGATAGATAGATAGATAGATAGATAGATAGATAGATAGCTATAGATAGATAGATAGATAGAGTAGCATTATTATGTATTGTTTCATGTAAGTATATGTACCTCATTCTATCTTTCCATTTGTGTATCCATCCATCCTTACTTCATCTAGCTTACATACACATACATACACATATACATGCATATACACATATATAAGTGGTGCTCCAAAGTCTTTGATATAGTCTCATCTCTCAACATTCACATTTAAGGATTTCCACAGTTTGCCTAACACATGGCTGCAAATAATATAACTCTGTTTAAGAAAGTCTCCACTTAATATGGATTGAACGCTCATTTCCTTCAAATAAGAAGCAAGCTTACTGAAAACTGCTTCCATAATTCATCCTTCCTGCAGTGTATTCATGGAATGATAATCCTGTGTTTGTGGCTACAACCTGAAAAATGCTTTTCTCATTCAACAGTCTTAGAATGGGGACAACCTTGAAACAAAGTCGCTGGAGATTTGACTCATCAAATCTTGTTTGTAGCCTTCTGCTTTTCTAAAACACCATCTCCTGTGTTTTTGAAGTTATGCCACTCAAAGTCTAGTAAAATAAGAATCAAATTTTGAAGAATGCTGATTGCCAGTGATGTAACCACAACATAATTCCCAAGTGATATCAAGCAGAAATCCAGTGTATCTCCATTAGAATCCCACCCTCTGGAAGTCAATAAACCTGTCTTAGTACCCACAATCATACAGCACCTAGCCAAGAGGCAATAAATATTCGGGACAGGACAACAGCTGCTTACAGGGCCTGTTGCTCTCTATAGGCCTGGTGAGGGTCTGAATTCCTGTCCCTCCGTGAGTCGTGCAGGATTTCTTGCTATAAATGAGCTGCCTCTCCCTGCTTGCTGGGCTCCAGGTTTTTGTCCATCTGCTGCCATTGTTCCCCCACATTTCACAGCTCTGTTGTATTGCATGTTATTCTTTAGTGAGCCATTATGGCATCTGTCTGCCCACCTTGTGCATGGCCCGTTCCGGTTCACCAGGCAGCAGCTGCCTGCACATCTTGCCCCCTTCCATCATCCGAGCAGGGCCAACCCAGTCAAGCCTGGTTGCAGAAATCATCATTTCATCGCTGGAAGATTGGCTGCGCTCCAGGGCTGGGTTATAGGGATCCTTGCTTGCCGTTTTCTATTCCTATAGGTGATTTCCTCTACAAAAAATTCAGATACATTACCTACAAGAAATTTCAGTTTCAAGGATGTATACAAAGATGCATTCAACTATCTCACTACATACATCTCTATTAGTAGGGAGTGTGTAGAAAGCAACTACAGAAGCCACATGTATTAGAGAAACATTCTAATATACAAAGACTAGATTTCCAGAAACACTAACCCTTGTCCAGAATTGATTTTAAAGGAAGAGAGATAACACTATTATAAAATCCATGCCCTTTATTCTGCTCTTTAAATAGATGACTCCTGATCATTTATAACCATTAAGTGGGGCTCAGTTACACGTGGTATACAGTTTATCATGGTATAATCCAAAACGGTGATTGTTAAATTGATTGTTCAGAACTCAAGCTTTTCTCACCATTAGGAACTTTATTTTTCATAAAATTTAAGGTTAGCCGGGCATGGTAGAACATGCCTGTAATCCCAGCACTATGGGAAACTGAGGTAGGAGGACCACGTGGTAAATTCAGCCTAGCAATGTTAGCAACTGACTTAGATTTGGGCTCAAAAGAAAAAAGTGGTGGAATTATATATAGATCAGTATGAAGATCCTGAATTTAATCTTCTGTACTACCAAAACAAAACAAAAAAAACAAAAAAAAAGTCTCTTAAGAGCCCTTAGGCAATAAAACTCTGTGTAGATACAATGTATCCAAAACCTAATAATATTCATACCTTTCCTATGAAACAACACTCCTGGTCTTTATCATGGCTGTTTTCCTAATCTTTTTTGCTTACTTTCATATAAACCACATGATAAAAAGATTAGCTTTCCAAGCCAATTGCAAAGTGTTTAACATAAAATGTGTCCAAATAATATTAGTATTACAGAATGTCTTCAACAGGAAAGACACTGCTAGTAACCTGTGAAATTCATTCCACATAGCGTGTCCCCCTCCACAGAGGATGTGTTCCCAGACTCCCAGTGGCTGCCTGAAGCTGCAGAGAGTACTGATCTCTACACATCTATGGTAAAGTTTAATTTATAAATTAGGCACAGTAAGAGATTAATAATAATCACAAAATAGAATAAGTATAATAATGTACTATAACAAATGCTATTTAAGTTTGTGGGGTTTCTGTTTCTAGAATTTCCCATGTAATATTTTCAGATCAAACTAATCATGTGTAGGTAAACGTGCATAAAAAATATCCTGGATTAGGAGTACTGTGCCCTACTGTGTTAGCACTTTTCTCATCACTGAGGCATAATACCCCATACCAGCAACTTGAGGGAGAAAAGGTTTATTTTGGCTCATGGCTTGCAGAGATTTCAATACATAGTTGATAGGCTCCAAGGCAGGATAGAGGGGCAAGGAAGAGGAGAGCTGCTCATGGCATGGTGGACAGGAAGCAGAGGATGCAAAGAAGGGCGTGGGGAGGAAGATAAACCCCTCCAGGACACACCTCTGGGGACCCAGCTCCTTCGCCCAGATCTCCATCTCCCGTTAGCAAATCAGCTATTAGCCCTCATAATCCAATCACCTCCTGAAAGACCTGGGTGAGCACATGAGGCTCCTGGAGGATGTTTGGATATAAAGCAAAAGACCTACATAGAAGGCAAGCACAGAGCGCCTTGTCCTCCCCAAAGGCATTGCAGAAGGTGCACTGGAACAAGAAAAGTCCAAGTAACCTCAGCAATGGAGGGGAAAAACAGGCCCCCGGGGGTCCTGAGCGCTAAGCTCCTTTGCAGATGGCCCCTGGGTAACCACCACTGCTCCCCAGCAGGTGGGTTCTGCTGCTTCCCAGCTCTCAAATGAAAACCCTGAAATTCACTGAGGACAGTGTCCAAGATCAAGTCAACCCTACACAGCAGAGGTGGGATTAGAGAGAAGATCTTTCCATCTGTGCTGGATGATGACACGTCCTGCCTTCCAAGAGCACCAGCACCAAAATGAGAGGTCAACATAAAAGACTAAAGGTAAAACTCAAGGCAAAGCAGAAAACCCACAGACTCTCTACTTCATGCATGGTTTATTTTTTTTGGCAGTACTGGGGATTGAACTGACTACCTCACATTTGCCAGGCAGGCACTCATGCCGCTGAGCTAAATCCCCAGCCCTTCCTTGTGCATTTTGAATAGTTAGATAAACCCAAGCTGCTGAAATAAGAAGTGGGAGAAGAGTATGTCCAGGGTTGCCCGGTGCACCCCACCTTCCTTGAGCCATTTAAACAAGGTGATGCGATGAATTAGCTCCTAAAAACAAACACACACACAAAAGTGTTTTTCATTATGCCATTTTAAAATAATTTCAAAGAATAAGCTTTTCAAATCTATATTTGGTCTCTTTGTAAATATTATGACACCTGGCATTCCATGTTGGAACTGAGACATTTCCCCTTCCTCTGAAATTTTCCAGAGTATTCATACGTTTTCTTCCTGTGCTGCTATCACCCTTCAGACACATTTCTTCCCACCCCAGGCCGTTCTCATTCCTCTGCATAATCTAGTATTCAATTTGAATGTACTCATTTAAGTCCAAGAGGGAAAAAAAAGAGAACATATAAATAAATCTTTATTACTGTCAGCATTGTTAAAAAATTTCCTATTTTGAGCTGCTCTTCATTTGAAATCACCACCCTACCAGGATAGAGAGAATCCTGCTAGGCATTTTAAATTAGGGAAGACAGTTTTATTGTCAAGGCAGGTCAATCAAATTATAATTGGCTCTAATTTGCACTCCCACCAGCTGTTAAATTCTTCACCTGCAGCACTCAAAATGGTGTGAAATTCTTGCTGGCTTTGTGAAAGCTTCAAAGAGAATCACTCTCAATCTGATCCCTAAAACCAAATGTCCTTGTTCCTTTTCATCAGAAGCAAGGAAAATGCACTTTTGACTCTGACCATGGCAAGCAGGGCATGGTAAGAAGAGGGCTGAGCTGCACAGGGAGGGATAAACACATCTTCCATGAATGACCAGTCTTGAGAAGCCAACATTAGTACTACAAACCAGCGAAGGGAGACTTGTCTTTGTTATGACCATAATATTGTTGCGTTGTCTTCTGGTTTATTGTTAATTGAATCTGCAGCTCGCAGAAAAATCATAAATTTGAGTATTGAGAATGAAACAGCAGACAAAGGTAGAGTGCTGGGATAAGGGACACATGTGCCAATTAGCCCAGGAAGATCCAGTATGTTTTAGGATATTCTCTGGTGCTGCCATGGATATTTTGGGACTCTGAATAACTAAAACACCCAAAGGAAGCTCCTTTCTAGTGTGTGCATGCACACACACACACACACACACACACACACACACACGCACGCACCACGCTTTCAGGAAAGAGTAAAAAGTAATAACCAGTTAGCATGTTATAAAGTAATAACCAGTTAGCATGTTCTCCCAGGACCCCAGTTCCCTGCTCTGTTTACAATTTTGCTGAAGGCAGTTTTGAGCAAAATATAGACCCTGCAAAGGCAGCAAAAGTAGGATATGGTCATCAGATGTGGAAATAACATCAAAACCAAATAATCAACATAATCTTGATTTTGGATGAATTCTGGGTGTATCAGTTTGGCTGCAGCTATGGAAATTTTTTAATTAAAATACATGAATGGGAGTTTTTCTAATCTTGCTAATTGGTTGCATGGACAGTTTTCAGCAGTCTGGAAATGCAGGTCTCTGGGGATGATTAGTGGAGAGAAAATGCAATGAAGAACTATGGGTTCTTTGAAAAAAGCACTTCTGGATTTAGAGTGGCTTCAAGAAAACACAGCTTTCTAAAAATAAAGCATTCCACTAGAAATAATAGAACAGCTTCTAGGTAAACTTTCCAGGAAATGAGACTGGAACCCAAATTTATATCAGTATCATCATTACATTACTTAAAAAGCAAGTGGGGCCAGGGATTTCGCTCAGTGGGGTAAGTGCCTGCCTGGCAAGCACAAGGTTGTGAGTTTGATCCCCGGTATCAAAATAATAAATAATTTAAAAACTTAAAGCAGGGGAAAGGCTGGAATCAGACTAACCTTCTAACCATAAAGAATAGTTAATACATGGAAGGCACCCCTTAAATAGAGTAGCATGTTGCTTTCAAATGTCTCATGAGGAACTGTGTTGAATGAAAATAGGATAAAGCAGATTTAGAACATAATCTGACTTATGTAACTACCTATTTATTTTATATGTATAGTAAAACACAGAATAATGTTAAACAATTGGTTATTTCCAAATCATGAGTTAAAAGCAATTTTTAAAATGTTTTTCTCTACTTCATGAATTTTACATGATGGTTTTGTTGTTTTTTGCCTTAGTTTTGTTTTTTAATTTGGGGATGAGGGGTTTGAAACAGGGTCTTGCTGTGGGGTTCAGGTTGGCCTCGAGCTCACAGTGATCCTCCCAAATGCTAGGATTACAAGTGTGCACCACCACGCCTGGCTAGAAATTTTTATAAACAATAGCAACAGTCAATTAATACTTGTGAGCAATACAAATTTGTGATTTGTTCAGGCACCAAAAAAAAAAAAAAAATCCCATTTTAAAAAATTTCGTAAATCATATAAAATCTCTGCAGCCCAGGCAGGCAAAGCACCCTTTGTGGTCCTCACTGGGGCACCCTTCTGCCTCAGTGGAGTCAGAGTCGAAATGGATTCAGAAAATCTGGGAAGGACCTGGCCCTTCAGCACACAGTCTCCCATCTTTTGGCACTCAGATGTGGCTGTGCACATGTGCTATTAGGGTGCCAAGGCCCTGACGTGACTCCTTTGGTCCTGTACATGACTTCACTAAAGCCCTCATCCCTTCATGAACGTAGTCCTCCTGCCCAGGCAAGGAGAGAGCCCCAGAACCAAGCCTAGCTCTCCACAATGTGTAGCTGGTGGTGAGCAAGTCCACACAGCAACCCACCGCCCCAGAGCTCCCCCTACTGTGAGCAAAGAGAAGCAGGCTCTGTAAGCAGGCTCTCGCCCAAATAGAGCACCAAATCTTTAAGCCTGCTATAGAACAGTACCCAGAGCAGAAGTGTCCTGAACAACAGAAATCTATTTCTCCGCGTCTGAGGTTGGTTTTGGCCTCTCTCCTGGGCAGCCTATGATTGTCTTCTTGCTACACCTCATATGGTCTTCCTGCTGTGTGCCTTTGTCCTAACCTCCTCTACTTACAAGGACACTTGTCAGATGAGATGAGTGCCCATCTTCATTTTACTTTCATGGCCTCTTTACTGACTTTATATCTCCAAATAAAATCCTGTGCTGGAGCGTGGAATTATGGCTCAGTGGTAGAGAATGCGTTTCACATGTGGGAGGCTTTGGGTTCAATCACCAGCACCAAAAAAAACCCAAAAACAAAACAAAACAAAAACCAATAAACAAACAAATACGCCATATTCTGAAGCAGAGGGCTTGGTATTCCAACATATGAGTTTGGGTGAGGAACATAACTCAGCCTCAAGCAGTACTTCCTGTTAGCTCAGTGACTCTGAGGTAAAGTTTGGTGTGCTTTTAGATAGATTAGTCTATGGATATGACACACAGGATGGGCTTCAAGGCACCTGCCCATTATCATTTCACCCACTAAATGTCAACCTTACTCTCTAAACATGCACTGCTGGCCCAGGCCTGTTCTATGCTGTGGAAACTCATAGTGAGTTGAACCCTGGATTTCTAGACCAGTACTTTACAGCCTCAGCTAAAAAGTCAGATACACAGCACATCCCTGTGGATTTCCACAGTCAGAGGAACTCACCCGTCTGCTCAGGAAGTGGCAACCCAGCCAAGTCTCCTGTGCTGTGTGGTATCAGGACAGTTTCTGGACATTTCTTTGCCTCTATTTTGTTATGTGTAAAATGACACTGATGGTAGATACCACAAAGGATTGTGGTGAGGATTAAATAAAATAGTACATATATAGCAGAGAGGCTGGCCCACTGGTGTCAAAATGAATGTTAGCATTAGTATCGCTGTCACTGTGATCTCAGGGTCACTAAGTTTGGCTGGTGGGAATCACACTGTGCCCCAGAGCTGTGCTCAATTTCAAGAACTCAGAAGCCTCCAACTCTAGGCCATGTCTTTGGGAGAGAGAAATTCAGGTTCAAAGAAAACCTACAAGGCCAGATGGCTTGTTTCAAAGAGACTGATGCTTAGGACAGTGCTGGAGAGAGAAAAATAGGTAGAAGGAAGAAAGAAGCAGCTTGGGGACAGGAAATTCTGCCTTGTAAACTACAGGGGAGGACACAATCACCCTGACAAATGCCAGCCTAGGAAGCTTGTTTTCTATGCCAGAACTAGGTCTGCAGTCCCTTGATGGTCACTTACTCTCTTACAGACAAACATACAGGAAGTAGTCCGGGGTCTGGGAGTCAATTTTTACTCTACCTCCCTCTGTGCCTTTTTTTTTTTCCTGTACCAGGGATCGAACTCATGACCTTGTGCTTGTCAAGCAGGTGCTTACACCAATGAGCTACATCCCTGGCCCTTCCTCTGGCTTTTAAGGCAAGGTGCTAAGCTTTTCTGGATTTGTTTTCTTCATGCACAATGGGAGAATAATATCAATATCAAGAAAGTGTGTACTAAGTATCTAGAGAGAAGCATAGTCTTGTGGTTGACTTTTTTCTTCTCTCTTAATTATAATCAGCAGAGAAAGTCATGTAGTATCTCTAGTCCCCTGCACATAAATCCTGAGCACCATGAATGGTCCTTGTGTCTTGCTTTAACACAACCATAAGATTTAGTGGGATAAATTAAACCTCTAGGAATCTAAAGGAAAGTTTTCTAGAACTTTCCTTTTTGAATGATTGTAATCTGAAACACTTTGCCAAACATTCAGGCAACCATATATAATTTGAAATTTTACTATGTGTTCTATGCAAGAATATAACCATAAATATCTATACCCAGTACCTATCTGACCCAGTATGTATCTGTCAATGAGATAAGTAATTGGATGAAACAAACTCTGAAGGAGTACATGATAGCTCATCAATACTCTAGTAAAAGGGACCAAGGCAACAAACCTTTAAAAGGGAAATGTCTGTAAGATTCTGGGTGTACTTTACATAGTCTTTTAGGAAGAAGAAAATTAAAGAGGTAAAAAAATTCTATCCTTGCAATGCTTTGTAGCTTGCAAAATATCCTAAAATAAAATATTTCATTGATTCAACAAAATATTTAAATTGATTTATGATGAAAATCATTAATCAAGTGCCATTAAATCAAAATCACATGATGTAAACCTATAAAATAGTATTTCTCAAGACAACTCCAGAAATTCTAAGTACCATGTGACAATTTTGTAGTCCTCAATTTGTTTCTTTTTTTTATGTTTCACTTTGATGATTACCCAAAAAAATTAGCTCATGCAAATTTTGCATCATTTGAATAAGTAATTTATGATTCAGTACAATTGTGAGATTTAAGAATTTCATTGGCATTGAGTAATTCTTTTAGATGAATTAATTCTTCTTGATGAACTAACAAAACCTCCGGTAATCACATAATATGTTCGTACCACCTGAAGATCAACACATGCATTGTCATAGTTATTTTTTTCTTATTGCTGAGACAAACACCCAATACCCACAGATAAAGGGGGAAAGGTTTTATTTAGCTCACAGTTTGTAGAGGTTTTGGTCCGAGGGTGGCACATGGCAGAGTGGCAACAATTCATGGCTGCAGGAGACAGCAAAAGCAACAAGAGAGACAGATAAGTCTTTTTCTGGTACTTATGTTGTATCCAGTCTCAGGATTAGGGTGGTGTCAATCTAGTCAGTGGACTGATTCAGCAATCGCCCATCCTTAATCCCAGCACCCTTAACTCCAACTTTGCCCTATGAATCAATCACATACTTTAGATTCAGCCATCTCAAAAAAAAAAAAAAAAAAAAAAAACCTTATGACCGCATGAGGTTTTGAGGGAGACATCAAAACACAAACCATAACATATGCTGAGAAGTTTACTCAAAAGTATCTCTAGATAATTGGTGAGACAACCAAACTGTTACCCAGTACTTGGTAGTTAATGCTTGCCTGGTACAAATACCTACACCTAAGCAGTCAGCATAAGGGGTTTTTAACAAAGACTTCCAGAGAAAAGCCCCACTGGACCAGTAAAGTTAAGAGGGTATTTTGAACTTCATTTTGGGGAAGTTTTACTGAAGAGTATATAATTTGAAATTTTACTATGTGCTCTATGTTTTTGCAAGAATATAAGCATAAATATCTATACTAATTTTAACTTGCAAATGTAAAAATTTTATGTATATATGTTATTTTATTATATAACTAAGTTTTAAGTTTTTTTGTGTGTGTGTGATACAAATTGAATAAAAATGAAAATCACCAAGTTTGAAATCAGTCCATTTTGAATAGAAATGTTTCCCAAATCTTTCTAAAGTTTTTAAAGTGTAGTAAATCATTTGTGGCGACCTTGAAAGGTTGATCGGAAAATCTTCATGAATTCTATTCTGAGTGAGCTATATTTTCTTCAGTCAAGCCATCACCAGGTGGTTTTGTCTGCTTTCTATGTTTAGACAGTCACAGAACCAGATTGCCCTGAAGTGGGACAGCTGACGGGGTGAGATTAATGAGAGTTAAGAGAGGGACAGCCAACTCCGTAGCAAAATGACTGTGACCTACTGCAAAAGCTGAGCGCACCATCCACCTAGAAGTTAAATAGCCACAACTGAAATCACATACCAAGGCACGCGAAAATGGAAAAACAGAAAAATGTTGTCTGGGAACCAGCTCTGGTTCTGGCACTCCTCAGGATTTCCGACATGACTCTGAATAATGGCTTCTTTATTTCTCTCTCTCTCTCTCGTTCTCTCTCTCTCTCTCTCTCTCTCTCTCTCTCTCTCTCTCTCTCTCTCTCTCTCCAGTTACAAAAAGGAGGCCAGATCTATCAGTTTGTAAAAATGGCTTGTGAATCGCAGATGCCCAGTACCCTGGAGCATGAAGATCTCAAAAATATGCAATTTATGAGGCCTTTGAAAATTACATAGCATGCCCTGCCATTTTCTGTCTTTTTATTTCATCTCCAGTCACTTTACTGCACTTATTTGAAACAGATGGAATAGAATAAATAATACTCTGGTTAGGCTTGAGTTTAATTTCCTATTAAAAGGAATAATGTAAGGGCACTAAGTGATGTCATCTCTTTTGCTCCAGGATGAGATTCAGAAGGGAATGGTCTCTCAGCTATCTGTTCCTCACTTAAATTTGAAGGAAAGTTTTAAAAGAAGAAACTTGGTAGGAAAAAAAAATGCATTTTGGTGACTTTCATGATCCAAGAACTTTAAGAGACTTTTTTTGGATTTAATAAAAATTGTGCTCACTATTATAATTACTCTGTGGACTGGGTCCTCTCTGCTTTTTTGTTTAAAAACAAATAAAAATAGTTGAATTATTAATGTGAAGTAAATTGGTTACTGTGCACTTGGAGTCACTTTTTAATTCATACATACATCTGTATTAACATCTTAATGATACTTTATTACAGATTATGCCGTAGTTGGAATGGCATCTGAGGAACCATTTACAGGATAATGGTTGTTGCAGAGACATATTTGAAGAAATGCATGGTGGTGTTGAGGAAGGGATAGAACGGTTTCAATAAAATCAAAAACTGTGTTTGTGAAGTTCAGGGGTAGAGTTCACAAGACTGCTCTCACTTCTGCTGCTAACTACAGACTTCAGGCGTCCCAGGACTACCCTCAGCTTTAATAATTCACTCACTGAGAGCTGTAATAATTGTGGTCATGGTTTATTACTGTTAAAGGACATGGATGAAGATTAGCCAGGGGAGGGACATGTGGAGAGTGTCCAGGAGGTTTCCAAACTTGGGGCTCCCTGTTGTCTTCTTGTAGAGTTGTAGACCATATTAAATACCTCAGCAATAATGTGTGACATTAAACATGGGATACTGCCAGCCTGGGGAGCTCACTGGAACCCTGGCGTCCAGAGTGTTTTATTATGTGTACCAGTAAAAATGTACATATGGCTGATCTTTAGTCCCCGGCCCCCTACAGAGCTAATACTGTAGGCTTCCCATTCCTCTGGAGTCTTTCAGAAGCATAGAAAATTCCATGTATCCCAAAGTCCCAATCATAAGTCACATTATTAGACTGTTGTGGTCTAAGGACCCTCAACATAAATTCATAGAAAGTTTTAACAATATCTCCCATATATTTGATGGTCAGTATCAGTGTTATAAGAAAAATTATAGTTGTATCTTACCAACAATGTTAGTGCTACACCATATTAATTAAATATGTCCATAATACAATTCAATTCCGTCCATTACAGAACAAGTCACTAAGAATTACTGGGATGTTTTATGTGCTTTCACAACATAATTGAACATTGCCTATTCTATCAGTGTTTACAAGAGCTTGCAGGGCGGGGGCAAGCCTCCTCAAAAGACTATACACTCTCTGAGTCAGATTGAATGCAAGACACAGAAATTTACAAGACTGGCCTGCATTGACTGCCCAAAGAATCAAATGTACAAAAAGGGGGAGGGGGCTGGAGATTTAGCTCAGCGGCATAAGCGCCTGCCTTGCAAGCAGGCAGTCGTGAGTTCGATCCCTGGTACCAATAAAAAGGAAAAAGACCAAAAAAAAAAAAAAATGTAGAAGAGTGCAAAAGATCCTTCTGCATTCTAGAGACTGAAGGATCACAGCAATGTTCTGTGTGAGTCAGCATCAGGAGGCCGATGGATCCATGATAGGAAACCTAGAGGTCTGTGTCAGGAAGTCACATTAAAGAACTAAGAAAACTAAAGAGCCTGCACCAAAACGATGGTGCTGGAAGCTGAAGAATTCTGCCTGAAAAACAGGAGATGAACCCAAGGCCAAGGTGAAGACCGGAGCTCTTCCAAGCAGAACAGCCAAAGCTCCTCCAAGGAAAATCAGCTAAAATTCTTCCCTCCCATTCTCCTTTTGTACCATTCTGACAACAATCCTCCTTTAAGTGGGTCTTCCATGCCCAGAACCATGCTTACTCAATTCAGCTGAACATTTCCCATTCAAATTGAAAATCAATTAACCACCACACCCATATAATGGCTATTTTTATGATAGGGATCATTAACAATTAGCTATGACTTGGATGTTTCTGGGGGCCACATCAATTGGGGACAAAGGCTTTCACTCTGTCTTGGTTCACAGGCTTGTGGTAAGACCACTTTCCATTTTCTGCTTTATATAGCAATTCCCAGCATCCTCCTGCTGAAAGGACGTGTGTGGTATTCAAGGCAATACCTACGTCCAATAACTGTAAGGCACACTGACTTATTTTTATCTATCTAGAATTAGGACAGTCATACTTCATCAACACAACTTACAAGTGTCCCTAGAGGACTTTCCAAGGTTTGGGAGGTCAAAAGATCCCAACAGGTGTGCCTCTCGACCCTCAAATGCCAGGATGGAGGGGCATTCTCCAGGGGACTCAGCCTCCCTCCCCATTTAAACAGATCAAGAGACTACGGTGGCTCAGAGTCCTTGTCTTTTCCCCATAGTGGGTCCTAGTACTACCCAGAAGTATTGTTGAGGCCTGCGGATTCCCCTCCCTGGCCTTCCTGGATGAGAACTCCTCCAATTTCGTCGTCCTTCCCCTCCAAATGCCAGTCCTTGTTAGAAGCAAATGAACTTGTCCCGTGGGGCCTAGTCCAGAACCTCCCTTCCCCAAAGCATTTTTCTGTCCTGCAGTACAGTATGGGGTTTTTGTTTCTACCATGTTGTCAATGTGTATTAGTAACATAGATGCTGTCAGAATGTATGTTTTTACTCAAAATGTTGGGTGCATCATAATTGAGTTACTAGCATTACATGACATGCAGTGACCAGTAGATATAATCTGGTGTGAATATTCCATAAGGCCTTGCATCTCAAAATGGAGCTGTTTGCAGGAAATTCAGCCTCACCATGTGGTGGTAGTGAGGTATCTTTCCCTTTCTGGGAGTCTGTGTTATTATCTAAGAGATAATATTATTTTCTTGCTCTGAACTTCTCTCCATGAACCAGTATAAGAGTTATGCACCAGTTAACCACTGTGGATTTACAAGACACGATTGAAATATACAGTGAATATTTAAATTTTTTAAATGTGTTACAGTAAAAGACACATTACATTGCCATTAATCTCCCCTTAAATCCCCCTTTGTATGGAACACATATCCAAGTTCTTCTTGCCATTTCTGAAGCCACTTTCTGGAAGTACTTTCTCATGAGAGCTTTACAAGGACTGATCAATAATATGGTTTTACTGTCACGTATTATCCAGTGAAGGACGGGCTCATAACAACATTACCTTGTTCGTGCACCTTGTTCACTGATCTGGTACCTTGTGATATCTCTTTCTCAAAGTAAAACTGCCCTTGAAAGCTAAACATGTCAAATTCAGGATATGGAGCCTTACACAATAGAGCAACAAGACATTCTTTTTCTTTCTGTTTGATTTTTTTTCAGAAAGAGTCTCATTCATTATGTAGCTCAAACTGTCCTAGAACTCAAAGTGACCCTCCTGCCTCAGCCTCCCAACTGCTGGGATTATAGGCATGGACCTTCAGGACTCTTGAAAAAGGATTTTCAGGAAAATGGCAAGAACTATGATTATTGTATGTTTCATTGTAACAAATTTTTTAAATTGAAACATTCACTGCATATTTTGATCATACCATGTTTCCGGAAAAATACATTATTAGACAATTTTATCATTGTGAGGTTGCATAGAGTATATAAATATACAAATCAGGTGGGGCTTTTTACACATCCAGGTTACATGACTTGATTCGTCATCGCTCCTATGGCCATAATGAATGAAACACCTTGAAATCAAATGACATACGAGAGAAAATGATACAATCACGAGATTCAGGAAGATGTACTAGGTTGCTGCTGGAGTGCTGTTTGACAGGAAACTTTTTTTTTGAATAAACAACACACTCTAAAATAATGATGTAGAGTATAGTGTAGTAAATATATAGACAAAGAGGTTTGTTCACACCAAAATCCCAGTTTCATGAGGAGAGACCTGTTGCATGACTTTACAATGACTGAGACATCTGTAGCTAACAAGTATTTTTAGCTCCCATCATAATCTGCCCTCCCCTGTACCATGTTGTTTCACTGGTCCATCACTGGCCAAAATGTTGGTTTTTCAGTGCATGCTTATGTTGGATTTTGTTCACTATCATAACCTATTTATTCTTTCATCTACCCTCAGCTATTATTCTCTCTCTCTCCATTTGTCATTTATTGTTACCCAAACTTGTCACTTTTAGTAGTGTTTAGTTTTTAAAAACCATCCAACTGCTTCACATAAAGTGCTTGCAAGCCACTGGAAGGTAAACATCCCACTGAACAGTGAATCTCTGTGCTCCCAACCTAATAGGAGACTTTTCCAGCAGGTTTTAGACTCACAATGTATGTCAAGAACCACCATAAACTTCTTTTTTCCTCAATTCCAAAGTTATTTTACCCACATATGCAAATATGGCCTTGGAACCTCGGTGGGGTGTTGACTCAGAAGTTCCAGGCGCTTCTGTAAAATTTCATTTTGACTATGTGAGAAGTCAAGTTTCTCATTATCATCTTTGCCTTCCAGCTTTTCAAATTCCTCCAAAAGAGGATTGTCTGGGGGATTTTAATGTCCAGGATAGCCCACCAGTCTTCCCAACTCGCAGCAGTGTCGCACTAGACCTTGGCTTCAGTCCCTCAGTATGCTTCTCTCTTAGGCCATTTCTTAATCACTATCTAAAGATTTCCACTCTGATGGCTGGACTCTCTTGACTGGCTCCTTTGTCCTCTCCTATTTTCTTCTGGGTCACTCTAATATCTTAGCATATGTAAAATCTATCAGGGAAGCTGAGACAACAAATCTGATCTGGATCCCAGGCTGTTGCTTGATATCTCAGTGGAAATATTACACGACACGCCAATGAGAAAGGAGCCCCTAAACCATAGCATTTACCACACTGTGGGTGAGGCACGTATGCAGTAGATGAGTACTGTCATAAGGCCAACTCAACCCTTCTTGTACATACAACATACCAATTTTTTCCTCTGGAACATTCCACGTGGCCTTTATAGGAGGAGTAAACTAACTTTACAGTCACTTTTACTCAGTATCCTGGGATAGTTACTCTCTCAGGAATAACCTGCAGCGTGCAAAGATGACATACAGACACTCATGATTGTTTAATAGCAAGCTGAGTCATATGGAGGGTTAGATGGTACCATGCGTGAAATGAAACAACTTCACAATATAACTCAGGATAGTTTCCCCTTGGTGGAAATCCTGAGATTTGTTTGTGATCATACCAGATCTGAAAAATGTTTGAGCTTGGTGCAGAGTCAAGGTTGGTCCTAACACTCTGTCTTACTTTCATTTGAGCTCTCACAGATAACAATAGTTTATTTCTTATTATTTTACCATTTCTTATGTATCCAACTAGCTATCTCCCTAGGAGCTGGACCCATCTCTAAACTCTATTGGTAATTTTTACCTATAGTAACTGCCATTCACCAGCTGTTTCATACCATGGGTGACTTCACAGTCTTTTAGGTATCAAAAGTTCCTCAGCCACAGCCTTCTGATCCTTCCTCCCAAACCACTTTCCAGTGAGCCAGGTCCATTCTAGGGAATCCCACTTATGAAACCAACTGTGAATTAGCAGGTATAACTTAGAATAGCATGCTCATTTCTAACACTAACTTCACGTTCAGGGGTTCTCAAGACTTCATTGGATTTCAATAAAACTATCTAATTTTTTGAGCAACTTTAAATTATTAACTGCATATCACCTAAATGATCTTAGGTTTTGGTAAGAGCTAACATCCTGGTTCACAGCTCATGCCGTGCATGCCAGATCCACACCAGTTGTGGCCAATGCTCCATGCACATAACGTAACTCTGAGATACTTACTAAAAAAGTCCTAAAGCCAGTTGGAAAATGCATGTGTCACTTTGGTTAAATTACTTTTACTCCAAAGCTTTATTTGCCTCTGTAGACGACATTCCTTGGTTGCCTTTCCGGTATCCATTTTCCCTTTTTATGTCCCTCATTCCCATTGGTTCTGAGAATTTCACACCTCTTTCATCTTCACATATACTTAAACTAGTTTATTCCATTTATGCCATCAGAATAAAACTTAGGACTTTGGCTGGTAATATTGGGAGAATTTTTCTAAGAGCCACAAATAAGGCAGTATGAAACCAAACCCAAGCCATCTTGGCGCGAGGACAGCCAACCTAAAAGTGAATCCAACATTACAGAACACAAGAGAAAAACAAAAGAATGCCAGTGCTTTCACAACAATTAATTAGCTAGAACAAGCCTTACCTGAGGCCAAGACTTCCTGGATGTTTGCATTAAATGAGCTAAAACTTTCTTTACTGTTAAAGCTCTTCCTATTCAGAGTGTAATCTGTAAGTGAGCAACATCGACATCACTTAGGAGGAGGTGCAGAATTTGGACCACACTATGGATCCTCCTAAGCCATATCTGCATTTTACCAGAGTCCCCAAATGATCTATCCACACTGGATAGATCACTGACTTTGAGAAGAACTCAAAGGCCTCTTGGAATCAGCTTTGCTTGTAATGTGCAACCTGAATCAGGGCCCCACATCATCCTCTCCAGATCAGTGTTCCAACTCTTCCTTGGAGATAAAGAAACAGATTGAAAGAGTTTCCAAGCTGGCCAACAGTTACACATTCGGAATAGGTACAAGCAGCAGTGGCACTCTGACTTTGAGTTCTGTAGTAATCACCCCTGGGACTAAGTGAGCCAATCAACAGTTTCATGGGTCTGGCCTACCACTTCAGCAGCCTGGTATTCATCTTTTTTAAAAGACCACAGGTTTCACAGATATCCTTTCTCTCCCTGTGTTTATAATCATGGAAAACTCCTTAATCTAGGTAATTTACTTAATGAGTAGTTCCAAATATTGGGTTCCCAACTACCAGCGGTTTAATACAAAAATTACAGGCCAGCTAATTGCACTTAACCAAGTAAGCCCTGTGAACACTTTTCTCTCATTATGTCTCGATGAAGCAGGAACCCTTGGCACAGTTCTCTCCTTAGTAATAAAATCAAGGAGCAACTCTTGAAAAGATCTTCACGCTCCTTCCTGCTTTAAAATCCTTTCCTGTTTCTAAAACTGACAAGTATGATAAGGAAATAGTACTAACAAAACAGAATTGTTTTAGAGAAAAGCTTTCCCACGGAAACTTCACAACTGGTAGACTGAAACGGTATGAAACACCAAAAAGTATGTCTGGTAAATTGCTGTAGCCCCTAACACAGTTCACTTGTATGAAAATTCCTCAACAAACATGTGTTGTATGACTAACTCACTTTCAAGTTACTGTACAGTTCGCAAGGCACCTTATCTTTTTACGTTTACTCTTAATTGACTTACATCTTTGCCACAATCCTGGTAAATAGGTGTCATCATCTTTATTTTAGAAATGTTAAACCTATGGTTCAGAAAGACTAAAAAGCACTTACCCATAGTCTCAGCACTTACCCATTTACTCATGATAGAAATGGGATTTAAATTCTAGTCCAGAGACCATAATTCTGGGTAATTCTATTACCTTGTACTGAATCTTTCTGTTAAGAAAAGTATTCCAATCAGTCGTATATTTAAGTTATTGTATGTACCTGGGGCCATTAGCAGCTCCTAGGTACACACACGCCCAAGCCCATTTCATGAAAACTACTTCAGATTCAAGCCTTGGCTTACTGGTTGGAATAATCTGCATCACACTAGATAAACTGCAGTAGACCAAATCATCCTCCAGCATCTTCATCTGTTTCACATTATGTTATTACTGTTAAGGTTCCTTTTGATTAAAGAGATGTACTGACCTTTGGGTGTCTCCATTGAGACTGCAACGCAGGGATTTTTTTATCCTGCTTTGGGTTCTGACTAGTGCAAGGCTTCAGCTTCCCGTCCATAAGGGAGAAACAACATGTATAGAAAGAAACCCAGCACCCTGAACCTGCTGCTTCTTGCACCTGTTTCCAGCCACAGCTACAAACACCCAGCACATGGCCCAGATGCCAGCCATCATGTATGTAATAGCAGAAAACAAAATTATAGATACAACTCACCTGCTGTTCAGTGATACTTCAGGGCACTTCTTAGTGAAGTGTAACTTCAACAGTTCTGTCCATGGAAATCTACAGATGGAAAAATGGTGAATTTAGCCTCAGGGAATACAGTTGGGCAAGATTATGATGGATTGCATTCCCTATCCCAACTACAAATAGATGTATTTTACTTTGCTTTTGACTTCTGAGCCCCCTCCCCCATCCCGTATCATTTCAAAATATCTCTGCAAAGTTACATCCTGAGATATGACATCATTGTCTCAGTATGTCCTTTATCCTAGTGGGAATTCAGTATGATCTTAGCATGAAGAAGATACAACTGAGAAAATGAAAGAGCAGAAGTTGACACCCATCATTTGTTCTCAGGGGTTAGCAATAGCTAAGGGAATTGGTGCTACCAACTTCAGATCTCACACGTGAGGCTTTGAGGCCATGCTGGGAGGAATTATTGCAGCAGTCCTCTGGCCACCGCTGTTAAGAAGAGGAACAAGAAACACGTGATATTAGATATGTCCGAGCCCTTCCTTTGCTCTGTCGCACTCGTAATTTTTACTATTCTTTGCTCTAAAATGATAGTCTGCATTCAATGTTGAGTTATTTATAGATTAGTATCTCCATAAATCTATTGTGAACCAATCGTTAATTTCAAGGTTTTGTTTATTTAGAGTGAAAGGGTTTGAACTTTACATGCTATTAAAATTTAGACTTAAAATAATCAGTATTCCTAGAGCCTTGTTTTACAAAAGCCCCTATTCTTGCACAGACTAAAAGTTGCCAAAATACTTTGTGAACTAAAGTGCACTGTTGTGTCATGAAGAAACTAGCTTCTGATGTCAGCATTGCAGACATTTTCTAACTGGGTTTCATACAGGAAAATGAGTGCAGTCTCCTTATGAAATGTTGCCACTGAATGTGCTTGATAATTACATTTTATTACATAACATTGCACTATACCTAATACTAGAGGGCAGAAATCTTATTGAAATATGCCTCTAATAAAATCTTCTGCTCTTTCCCATGGGCTTACAGTGGTAGAGTCTGTGAAACAGACCTGGTCTCGTTCCTCATGATGTTTGCATGTCAGTGTAATAAAGGAACATGAACATAGGGGTAAATCTACAGCAGGACCTGAATGTGAAAAAAACCACTCACAGAACTTTCTGGAAGATACAACATAACCAGAAACAGATGAAAATTGACATGACAACAACTCATCATCAGCAGTTTTACACTGGAGGGAGTGAAGACAACTCTGTGTGTCACCTACTCAGCCTTTGAGCTAGAGAATTATCATGGGGAAGCCTTGGAATACCACTTATAAACCTTTCACTGCTACTTATCAACAGTATTTAACAAGCAAGATGATTAAAGTATTCTAAAGTTCTTACATGTTCATGAGGGCAAATTTCTAAACATTGAACATATTTAGATTTGTTAATTTATACAGCCGGTTAAATTTCAAGAGTGACAATTAGCAGAATAAAACTAAATAATTTTTACATCAATAATTAAGACTCAAGCATATAAAGTACAATAAAATAGAAAGCACAAGTAAGATGCTACATAAAGTCTAAGTATTTAAATGATCACAATGAATTTATATAGTCAAAATTTGTCAGTTAAAATGTTAGTGTTACCAATCTGAAAATGTTCAATCTAGATATGTGCTTTCTTAGGAAAAAAACCATAATACAGAAGGAAATAAAAAAGTTAAAGCAGAAGAATAGAAAATAATGTTAGAGGCAATCCTCATAAGAAAACTCACAGCTACACTAATATCAAGAAAAATATATACTGTAAGATAAAAAAGATTATTTGAAGATGTAGAAGAAATGTCCACAAAAAAAATTTCTATTTCGCACTGGGTAGATTACTAAACTATATGACCCAGGCTCCCTTGAAAAATGTGACCATGTGACTGAATTCAGCCAATGGAATATATATAAAAATGACTGTGCTACTTCCGGGCTTGGCATGTGACTAATTCACTCTCATTCCCATGCATCAAGAGGATGCAAACAGCAACACCCTAGGGCATGACGGAAGCGCAAATGAAGAAGACTGGGCCCTGGAAGTTTGACACAATGTCACTGCCAATCAGAAGCAATTATACTAGGCACAAGTACTGTTAAGCCACTTAAATATTCTCCTTAGTAAACATGAAAAATAAAACAGAGGAATTTACAAAGAATTAAAGTCAAGAGACTAGAAAAATTCTAACCAGGTAAGAAGGCTGAAGGGATTAGAAAAGAATTATATAAAACAAAAATTAAAGACTAAATCCACAAATTTAAAAGGAAACAAAATGAAAAAATTGTAGTTAATTCATTGAAGAGAAAAATCATTAAGTGAAATCAAGAATGAGGTAGGTTGCAACAAATATAGAAGAAATTAATTGTGATAGAATATTATCTCTTTGATAAAATTACTGATTTTTCAAGAAAATACAAATTGTCAAACCTTCCTAAGGAAGAAGCAGAAAACCTTCCTTAAATAAACAAATCTCCATGAAAGAAGCAAGGGGATAGGAAAGCACAGTTGACAAATTACCTCCCAAGCAGGAAGGTAGACCCATAAAATATTTCCACAGGCTGTGCCCATAGAGTTAATGACAAGGACATTCCTTGGCTTACACAAAATATTGCATGCATAAAAACTTTTAAAAGTTTGCAAATTGTTTTTACAAAGCTAGCATAATCCTTACATGAAGATTCAAAGTAAATATCATGAAAAGACGAATTACAGGCTTACCTGTAAATCAGCAACTCATAGATCTCCCCTTAGTGACGCCACCTTTCTCTTCCATCCAACCACTCTCTCCTCACTGGTAAAAAGAGATCCCTTCCTTCTTGGCTAATGGCAGGCCCTTTTCAAACATATGAATGGGTGGTTCATCTTCTGAGGGGAAGCATTCAACCCAACAGTGAAAAAACCCAGACAATTAACCTCATTAGTACCTCTTAGTACCTCTCACATGAAAAGAGCCAAAGAGAGCACCCTTCTTGTCAATGTACACACTTCAAAATTGTAAATCAGTGCAACCTACTAAGGCCTACGAAGGCCTCAGATAAACTTAGGTAAAAAGAGATACTTGCCAAGAAGCAATGCTTAATTCGGTGGTGAGAGAATATGTCGTTATTCCTGTGCACAACACAGGTTGAGAAACACTGAAGTTTGCCCCCCACAATAAAAAGCTTTCTGAGTATGTTGGAAGCTGTCCCTACTCTCTTCTCTGGGTGTAGGAAAGGCATCTCTTCAAAGTTACATTTCCTTTCTTTCTGCAAGTATCATACTTCCTAAGAGTTGAACAGTTAACCAAAAAAAAATCTAAGAGTATTCTATTTTTAATTGGTAAGATGATAAGCTGCTTTTCAAGTCAAGCAAATTTCCTCTAAATTTATGCTCTGAGTTGTTCATGCATTTTTTAAATTCCTTCCACACAGCATTATATGAACAGTGATGAGCATCAACAGTATATGAGCAAAGAGTCTTAGTACTCATGATGGTCCCCAACCATGATGTTTGAACACAGGTGTGAACCTTCCCTTCAACTTTCCATGTTATAAAAGAGCAGCTTTCTAAGGAGTGAGTATCCAAAGATAATCAGACCACAGGCAGTCTCCTCAGTATCACCTGCCTCGCTTCTCTTTGTATGCTCCAGCATCAGACCTTACAGGTCCCCAAGCTGATCAGAGACTTTTACTTGTACCACCTGGTGTGGCTTTGAAAGTGTCCCCAGAGTTCATGTGTTGGGAACTTCATCCCCCACATAGCAACACTGAGAAATGGTACCTTTAAGAGTTGATTATGTCATGATGACTCTAACCTTAGGAATGGATTAATGTATTATCTTAGAAGTGGGTTAGTTACCGTGAGAGTTGGCTTGTTATGGGAATGAGTCTGTCCTCTCTCCCTTCTACCATGTTATGACAAAGCAGGAGGGCCCATGCCACAGATACAGCCCCTGGATCTTGAACTCCCAAACCTCCAGAATGTTAGGAAATAAACCTCTATTCTTTACAAACTACCCAGTCTTGGATATTCTATTATAGCAGCACGAAATAGACCAAGACACTACTACCTCTGGTTAGAATGACCTCGTTAAACTTCCTTCCTACCAAGCCCCTGCTCATTCTCTCAGCCAAGACCTGTTGTTTCTCTCTCTATAAAATTTGCCACCAAGTCAGGAAAAGCCACACTGTGTTCCAAGCACCATAGCCTTCAACTGCACTGCAGATATTTGAACATGATTCTGTGCCCCCTGATGGCAGGGTAAGCTCTGTGAGGTGGGAACCAATCATTTTCTCACATTTGCACTTGTGTTCCCACTGCTTGGAACAAGGCACTGTGACACAGGAACTCAGGATAATTTTGCTGAATGGCCCTGTTGAGTGTCTGTTGGTAACTTCTTACCTTCCACAAGCCAGTATTAACTTGTCATAAAATTTAATCAAAAGAACTGACAAAGGCATCATAATGATGGAGAAATGGTGTTCAAAACAAGAAACACTGAGAACAAAGGAGTCTCAGACTGGGAAAGGCAGATGATACCCAGACCAAATAAAAAGAAGAAGCCTGAGAAAGAGAGGCCTGGATACCCTGGAAAACATTTTCTCTGCCCTGATTCTCTTGTTTATCAGCCACTTTTGTTTCAAAGTTAAATTTTCTTAAGGGGAGATGGTAGGTGGTACAAGCCAGTTGTTTGATTACCTACTGCTGTGTAAGAAACTACCCTGAAATGGAAGAACTTGAAAAATCACTATTTCACTTGCTTACAATTCTGAGAATCAGGAACTCAGGCAGGGATAGGTGCATAGTCCTGCTCCACACAGCATCAGCTCAGGAGAAGCACCCAGTGGCGTTCAGCTGGTAGCCAAGTAGGGCGAGAAGATTCAGGAAGAACTTCATGTACTGTGTGGTCCCTCAGGCTCCCTAGTGGTCAGTGTCTCTCTGCAGGCTCCACCCCACTCCACAACATTTTCTCACAGCAGGCTGGTCTTTGGGCAATTACATTCTTTATATGAATGCTGGCTCATAAGTCATGCCCCAAACGGTGAAACAGAAGCCAT